ATACAGATATTTTTAATATTATTAAAAAAATTTGTCCATCGATGGTGGCAATCAGTAGGCTAATTTCTAATGAAAAGACCAATTTATATGACAGGTTTTAATGTAGGCTTTTATACATATGTAAACATTATTTAATTACCATTATAACTAGCTATCTCACATATTTTTGCTCACTCAGTGTTTTTTTTTTATTTTACAGTGGGGTAATTTTGGTGCAGTAGCACGAGATAGCTTGATTTCAAACTTTGAATTGAATAAAAAATGACAAGTAAACAGTCAGTAATAAAATAAGAACAAATAAAGAAATTAATAATGATAGCACAAATAAAAAATAACGACAGGCCTTCGAATTAAATAAATTGCTTTTTAGTTTTTCAGGTAGGTCTAACAGTAGGGGTAAGATATTTAACATTTTAAATTTTTTTACCAATTATCCAAATAATGTTTAGTCCTAGAAAGCTATTATTATCAGAACACGTGAGCATAACATAGCGGTTAGCAGATTAATGAATGAGAGGGCAGCGTTACCAGAGATGCCCATATACCACACCTTGTTACAACACAGTAGGGCTATTGCAGACAGAAACGATACTGTATTACATCGATGTCTCCTGTCAGCTCGTTTTTTGAGTGGACTTTGCTGTTCCGATTCGCATGAACGGTATACGAGTGGAGCTGAGCGGAGCGCACACGCATAGAGCGGATAATACGCAGAGCGTCACACCACGTGAAAGTGAAACTAATTTTCGGTGAACTAATTTTCGGCAGCCGGAATTTCGGTGCATCTCTAATTATTGGCGACATCAGAAATGGATATTATATAATAGATGCTTTTTTGAACATTTTAGCAATTTAAAAATATTAAAAAATGATTTTTTTACACGGCACCCCGGTTGGGAAACACTGTCCTAGACAACAACAGAAAAATCAGCCTGCTGTTGATTTAACAGAAGTAGCAGTTACTGAGTCAAATTACTTCTTGAAGCGGGAATGAGTGCCTACGACCAGATAACTGTCCCGGGACAGCTCTCTCTTGACTGGGGACCTGCCATTAGGCTTGCCGGTTTTGGTTCCAGGCCGAGCGACCTCAGTCATCTTACACGGGTCATGCTTTAACAAGTAAGTACCAAAGGTCTCCCATCCACCACCAACACGCACCATGGCATGTTTATCATTCAGCATCTGTAAAAGTGAGAAAGCACAAGAGAGCAAGTACAAGTAACTTTTTTTTTTTACTTTTATTTTGAAAATAAAATCTCTTAACCTGTATAATCACAAAAAAAAATCACAAGTGATATTTACCTTGATTTTTTCTTTCTATTGTTTTCCTCACACATTATGTCTCATATTACATCTGAAGCATCTGATGCTCCTCACTGATACTGTTGTTTCCTTGGTAAATACAGTAACTATGCTAACTTCTGAAAAAAATGTATCAGGGCAAAATTGTTCGTCGTGGTGACAATGATGCCACAGCTGTGGGACAGTCATGTAAATAATTTCCACAAAACAAAAACTGAAATGGTGTCCGATGTTTAGATAATATTTTCAAACACGTCTATGAAAATTCAGCATAAAATATCAAATACACAAAATGTAAAAAATATACATTTCATGATGAATATTCATAGTTTAACAAAGTGGGAAAAGGATAAAACAAATGTACAAGACATCTGAAAGGTAGCAATGCAAACTTCATATAACAATATTTAAGGTCTAAATCTGTTAGTTTAATTAAAAACCAACCCCTTTAGAGAAAAGTGAGGAATACCCCCCTCCTCCCTCATAAAATATTCAAAGTGTACATCTAATATGCAACAGATTCGATTAAAGGCAAATGATCCCAGCCGAGAGAGAGAGAGAGAGAGAGAGAGAGAGAGAGAGAGAGAGAGAGAGATGAAAAAG